CAGCCTTTATTTTCCTTGTCTCACTAGCTCTTACAACTTCTACTAACCTGTTTCTTTTCAGCTACTTTTTGCTTCAGGGCTTTTTACCTTTCTTCCATTCTGTATGTAGGCATTTTGGACTGACCAGATGGGACAGGTATTCTGACACTCAGGAGCCACTGAATACTGAGTGTTACACAGCTCAGGTGGGAAGGTATTCTGGAGCTCTGTAGCCAAGGACTACCACAGGCTGTAGTAAGCTTCGCAGCTTTACAGCCTTGCCTCAAGGAAAGGCTTCCCAAGCGTATCTGCTCTGCTCTGGCAGAGAGTGTCTTCCAGCTGGGGATGTTTGCCCAGTGTAGCCGTTTTGCTCTGGCAGGAGATTTCCCGGGCAAAGTTGCTATAGTTTATCTCTGCTCCTGGGAGAGTGGACAACCGAGTGTAGCAACTCTGTTCTGTCTGGGGAGGTTTCCCTGGCAAAAGTCTTAAAGCCCTGCTCGCTCTGCTCTTTCTGCTCTTCCCAGGGTTGCCTCTGCTCTGCCCCAAAAGAAGGTCTTCACCCAAAGCTCATCCAAGGGGTTTATTGGGAGGGAAGAATCCAGGAGAGTGGCTGCCCTGTGCCACAGTGACAGAGGACAGTCAGGTAGCATGAACAGCCACAAGAGGAACAAACAGGGTTTATATACGGCTTCCAGGGTGGGGATTGTTCAGATTTCAATGCTGAGCTCACATTGGCTAGAGCTCCTGCTCAAGAATTGGCTAGTTTTCTGCACAGGATTAGGGTCAGATTTGGCTCTGGTTTTAGGGCCAAAGTGTGTTTCTTTCTCTGGTCCTTTTTAGCCTTTTGGCTCCAGTTTTAGGGCCAGGGTGTATTTCTTTCACTGGCTCTGATTCCAGGGCCAAAGTGTGTTTCTTTGGCACTGGTTTCAGGGTCAGGGTACATTTCTTTGGTTCTGGTTGCAGGGCCAAAGTGTGTTTCTTTGGCACTGGTTTCAGGGTCAGGGTACATTTCTTTGGTTCTGGTTGCAGGGCCAAAGTGTGTTTCTTTGGCACTGGTTTCAGGGTCAGGGTACATTTCTTTGGTTCTGGTTGAGGGCCAAAGTGTGTTTCTTTGGCTCTGCTCAGGGTGTGTTTCTTTGGCTGGACCTTACCCCCTACACTATATGTCCTACTTGGCTGCTTCCTCTGTGTCTGACTGGCTAGCAGCTCCCTGACCCGGAGCGTCTCCCTCTCTCCAGCCTAGATTCCTCCTCCTACTTATTCTCTCTGCCTGCCAGCCCCACCCATCCCTCTACTGTTTAGCTATTGGCAGTTCAGTTTTTATTAAACCAGTCCGGCAGACAAGGTGAAACAGCAACACATCTCTACATAGTTAAACAAGTATTCTTTTGTTTTTGTTTTTGTTTTTTTTGTTTTGTTTTGTTTTTTGGTTTTTTTTTCCCCCGAGACAGGGTTTCTCTGTGTAGTTTTGGAGGCTGTCCTGGCACTCGCTCTGTAGACCAGGCTGGCCTCGAACTCACAGAGATCCGCCTGCCTCTGCTTCCCGAGTGCTGGGATTAAAGGCGTGTGCCACCAACGCTCGGCTAAACAAATATTCTGCAAGGCAAATGTAACACATCTTTACTTAGTTACACAGATATTATTTTTCCACAACAGTACCAACTCCATAATAGCAGTTAGGATTACCTCTTCAGAAAGTGGGGTGAAGAAAATAGGAGGTAAGATTGGACTACACAGTTTAAGGCAAAAATATCCCTCCAAAATGTAACCAGTTCCCCTCTGAGTAAAAGCCGGATGCCCTTGGCATCAGCATCCTTACCAAGGACCAGAGATGCCAAACGTGTTTGGGGAGTCTAGTCTCTGATTGTTTTTTTTTTTTAGGAAAGAATTGGCCAGGCGGTGGTGGCACACACCTTTAATCCCAGCACTTGGGAGGCAGAGGCAGGCGGATCTCTGTGAGTTCAAGACCAGTCTGGTCTACAAGAGCTAGTTCCAGGGCAGCCTCTAAAGCCACAGAGAAACCCTGTCTCAAAAAACAAACAAAGAAAAAGAATTGTTTATTTTTCCTTTATGTGCATTGGTATTTTTCATGCATGTATGTCTGTGTGAGGGTGTCAGATCCCCTGGAAGTAGAGTTACAGGCAGTTTGTAAGCTGCCATGTGGGTGTTAGGAATTGAACCCAGGTCCTCAAGTCGTCTCTCCAGCCCCTCTTATCTGTTTTTTTTTTTTTTTCCGAGACAGGGTTTCTCTGTGGCTTTGGAGGCTGTCCTGGAACTAGCTCTTGTAGACCAGGCTGGCCTCGAACTCACTGAGATCCGCCTGCCTCTGCCTCCCAAGTGCTGGGATTAAAGGCGTGCGCCACCAACACCCGGCCATCTCTTATCTGGTTCTTAAATGTTTCTAGTATTATGTTGTTAACATTCCTTCTTGGGAGGAGAGGTTAGCCCTGTCTACCTCTAAGGTCTCTGACAAACCAAGGCACAATTCCCCCCAAGTTCAGAATTGCCATGGAATTTTTGGACTTCCTTACGGAGCATCTGTGAGGGGTTATTTCCAGGGTGTGGGCACTCCTCCCATTATAGTCACATCTGGAAAACCTTACCATGTAGGGACAAGAGCTCCAGTAAGCGTTTCGGGATGGGACAGGATGGAACAGCAGTGGGTTAGGCATTCTGGAACTCGGGAGCCAAGGATACTGAGTGTTACACAGCTCAGGTGGAAAGGTATCCTGGAGCTCCGGAGCCAAGGACCACCACAGATTGCAGTAAGCTTAGCAGCTTACAGCCTTGCCTCAGGGAAAGGCTTCCCCAGGGTATCGGCTCTGCTCAGTCAGGACAGGGTCTTCCAGTGGGGGATGTTCATCCAGTGTAGCAGTTTTGCTAGGCAGGAGGTTTCTCGGTTGAAGTTGCTACAGTTCAGCTCTGCTCCCGGAGAGAGTTGCCTCTGCTCCATCGCCTCTGCAAAAGAAGATCTTCAAAGGGGTTTATTGGAAGAAAGTTGCTGGACCAGCCAAGCTGAACAGACACAGGGTTTATATAGGGCTTCCAGGGTAGGGATTGGTCCGATTTCAGTGCTGAGCTCAGATTGGCTAGAGCTCTGCTTGAGGATTGGTTAGTTTTCTGCACAGGATTAAGGTCATATTTGGCTCTGGTTTCAGGGCCAAAGTGTGTTTCTTTCTCTGGTCTTTTTTAGCCTTTTGGCTCCAATTTTAGGGCCAGGGTGTATTTCTTTCACTGGCTCTGATTCCAGGGACAAAGTGTGTTCTTTTGGCACTGGTTTCAGGGTCAGGGTACATTTAGTTCTGGTTGCAGGGCCAAAGTGTGTTTCTTTGGCTCTGCTCAAGGTGTGTTTCTTTGACTGGCCCCTTTTCCCTACATGAAGCCCCCTCCCCCAACACCTCTTGTGGGGAATAGAGGAAGCCCTGAGTGGATGTGTAAAAACAAATGAAGTCCTGAGTGGATGTGCATGTGGGCATGGCCACAGCCCCATGGGGATTTGGTGAAGCCTTCCCTGGGTGAGGCTCAGAGGGATAGCAAGGCCTTCCTCTGGAGTGTGAATGTGGGCTGTGTGCACAAATCCGAATACTTAGGGAGGACCGCACACGGCAGCTGCAGCTCCCTCCACCTAGATGTTTACAGCCTGAGACTGTTCAACCACAGACACCAAGATTAGTTAATGCCTCCTCCTGTTCTGTTCATAATAAACAAGCTGAGGTTCTGGGTTGTTTCTGTAGTTGATGCCATTTCACAGAGTGCCTGTGGCCCACCCGACTCCAGCTTTTCAGTACGTGTGTCTTTTCTTCCTTCCCTGGTTGCTCCTAGGCAGGTCCAGTCTGAGCTTAGCTTGATGCTGTGCCCTCTGTTCTCCCCTGGTTGTGTGTGTGTGTGTGTGTGTGTGTGTGTGTGTGTGTGTGTGTATGGTGTGTGTGTACACTTCAGCTCTCCCCCCAAGCCATATGCAGAGAGATAGCAAGGCCATGCCAGCTCATAAACCATCTGTGGCAGGCCTGTTTGCCCAAGCCCTAGACAATCCTGGGACTTGTCTGTCACCCTTCTCCTTCATGCCCACCTTCGATCACATCAGACTGTGGGGTCCAGCTACTACCAGTGGGATGAGACACAGTTACTGCCTTATGGGGAGCAGAGGACATACACCCCAAGTGAAGTCCTGTGAATGTGTGCTGTGAATTCAGGCATAGCCATGCCAAGGACCCTGGGGGCAGATGGGAGCCTTCCCTTCGGGTCCACATCTGTTGACTGATATGCAGAACTTGAATACCATAACCTTCTGCCCTGCCCTATATTTGCAGCCTGAAGACCGCTCCCCTTACAGGCTTTTCATCCTGAGATCAGCTAAACCTGTCTCCTCCATCCCAACGCATCCCATAAACCTGCCTCCTGGTTTGCATGTAGTAAGCCTGCCTCCCTGTTCAGCTGTATGCAATATCCCTGGCACTTCCAGGCTGCAGCAGTTTCCCAGCTAGGTGGCCCAGCTTTCTGTGCCTGTGTGCATGTGTTTGGCAATGTCATACTCAGAAATGCCTAGGGGATATACACATCACTATCCTCTAAGCTGCCCTGCTGCTGTCTGGGGGGCCAGCCTCCAGCAGCACAGGGCTTTGAAAGGAATCCAAGGGAGTCACTAAGCTAAACTTTTTTTTTTGATCCTTCTGTAGTGATACATTGTTTATGATTTACTAAAGTCACTGTAGATCAAAATGGCGAAGCAGCCCTACTAGTTAACTCTAGAAGCTAGGCAGTGGTGCTCCACACCTTTCATCCCAGGACTCAGAGGTATTATGGGTCTCTCTGAGCTTGAGGCCACCCTGACCTACACAAGAGCGAAGAGGAACAGAGCTCACACCTTTGTTCCTAGCACTTGGGTTCACAAGCCTTTAATCCCAGCACTAGGGAGGTAGAGCCAGGATTGTGTGGCTGGGTGGAGAAAGGATTGTAAAGAGGAGAAAGAGACAGGAATTCAGAGCCTTTTGCTTCTGAGGATTTGTGGAGACAGGATGGCCATTTGAGCTGGGCAAGAGCTACTTGGCTGCTTTGCTTCTCTGATCTTCACCTTGAGCTTGAATCCCAATCAAATCGGACTCTGGGTCTTTTATTTTTCTTGTTACAACCTTCTTTTTTATTTTTATTTTTCTAGAATAAGCTTTCCATTAAGCGAATCAAAAGCACATGGGGTCCCAAGGGTAGAATAAGTCCGTGGAAACAAGAACAAGAAATCCTTCCCACAGAAAGCAGTCCTTACAGGGAAACAGTTCCAATCCTTCCTGATGGTCTGGGATCCGAGGGGGCCCTGGCTCACAGAGTGCCAGTGACTGGAGCCTGGAGGATGCTGAGGGAGGCGTCCCCCCCTCTCCCCCTTCCCAGGAAGCTGTCCTGGGCCAGCCCTGGCCCGCGGCGGGTGTCACCGGCGGTAGCGGTAGCGCTTGAAGTGGAACCACAGCTGGAAGATGCCATTGGCGAACTGGCAGCGGAAGCCGCGGCGGTGGGAACAGTCCCATTCGCTGCTGACGATCTTGAAGGCGATGTCCTCGTAGGGCGGTCCAGCGTGGAAGCGCAGGATGGCGAAGTCGCGGTTGTCTGCGCAGTCCTCCAGGAAGTACTCCGGCGTGACGCGCTTGCAGATGAGGTCGGGATAGAAGATGTTGAACTTGTAGCCCTGCACCATCTTGGGCGGCGGGTTGTCCACGTCGTAGTGCGTCTGGTTGTACTTGTTCCACTCGAAGCCGGTGTGCACGCGGTTGAAGAAGCGCGGCTTGCGCGGCCGGTACTTGTCCGCCCACAGGTAGGCGCAGCCGCGCAGCGGCATCTCCACGCTGAACGGCGCCTCGTCCTGCCCCATGCCCTCGCTCGCGCGCCTCAAGAACACGTCCAAGGCACCGTCGCTGTCGCTCCCGTCGCCTGTGGCCCGGAGCCGCTGGCGCGACAGCTGCAGGCGCTGCAGGTCCTCGTGCGGTTCCAGCACGTGCGCGTCCAGCGGCAGCTCGTGCGCCCTGAGCAGCTGCGGGCTGTAGGGGCCAGCGTCGTAGTCGTCAGAGTCTGCCAGGCTCTGCTGGATCAGGTTCTCCTCCATGGGCACCGCCTCTCCGTCCGCGTCCGCTGCTTTCCCGGCTGCCGGAGGCCCCTCGGCTTCTGCGGGGTCCGTCGAGGGCCCGGGGTTGGGGGTGGCCGTGGGCTCGCTGTCCACCCCCTGCTCCTGCTTCAGCCTGAACAGCTTTTGCCGCAGGACATCCTGGTGGCGCTCCCGGAGCCTGGCCCTGGCCATGTGCGCACGCAGCAGCTGCAGCAGGCTCTCCCAGTAGCCCATGTCCAGGTTGGGGCCGCCTGCGCGGATTTTGCCCTCGATGCCCTGGAAGATGACCTGCAGCTGGTTGCTGGTCTTCCCCTTGAACACCGACTGCACATCGGGGCTGACCGCGGCGTTGATGCCCTCACGGGGGCGCTCACCCGGACCCTTGCCTGAGGCCTCCAGCTTGAGGAGCTTGGCGATCTCCGCCTCCGTGATGATTGTCATGTCCCGCCAGAAGTCCGTGTTCTTACCCTGCTCCAGCTCCGTGTACACCCGGATGTCCTCCAGCAGGTCTTCCATGTCCGCCACTGTGAGGCCATTGAGGAAGGAGTAGGGCTCGTGCATCTCCACGGCCAGGTCGTCGTCCTCTGCGCTGATGTAGTTGGCCAGCACGTCGATGGGCTTAGCCCGCCCGTCTCGGATGCGGATCTTGGACCGCAGCTTGGCCTGTTTCAGGTGGAAGCTGTCTTCCTGCTCCTCCCAGGTCTTGAAGTGCTCTGCCTCCTTGTCCCGCTGCAGCTGCTCCAGTTCCTGCTCCTGCAGGGCCTTCTCCCTCTCCCGCTCCAACCGCAGCTGCTTCACCTTCTGGAGCTCCAGCCGGTTGTTCTCCTGGACCCTCTTGACGCGTTCCTTCAGCTCTTTCTCTTCCAGGTGACTGATGCCTTTCTTCTCCAGTGCCTTGATCCAGATGAAGGTGCCCAGGAGATTGCTGTCTCCAAAGGGGTTGTCGGCGTTGGTGTACCCAATGGAGTCCTCGCTCCAGCCCATCTTCTTCTGTCTTTTGTGCTCCTTAGCTTGCTTCTTGGCCAGTCTCCGCGCGCGCTTCTCCTCGGGGGTCTCCAAGGCCTTGAGCAGCTCTTCTTGCCTCCTGCGCTTCACACGCAGCCACAGGCGCTCCTTCAGTGTCTGCTGCTGACTCGGGGCCAGGGCAGCCGCCCCAGGGCTCCGAGAGCGTCTCGGGGAGTCAGAGTTAGATGCTGTTGACCCTGGGGACCGGGAGTGCCCGTGCAGTGCCCAGGAGCCCCGTGCCGGCTCCTCACCCGAGTCAGACTGTGAGGACAGGTCCCGTGAGTGCAATCGGCGTGGTCTAGCGCTCCTGCTTCGCCTCCCACACCTTTGAGTCTGCGGGTCTCCCTCTGAGTCTGACCTGTGCCTCTGGCTCAGTCGCCAGCCTTCTCTCCTCCCCTTGCGGTCCAGGCACTTCTGCTCGCTCTGTCCATGGCTCTGACTTTGACTTCTCTGCCTCTGTCCCCTGGGCCCTGAGGGCTGTGAGCACCAGTGAATGTCACCACCCATTTGGCCAATGGCTTCCTTCTTTAGTCTCTGTTCTCTCGTGTTCTGTCTCTGTTCTTTCTGCTGTATACTTTTTTCCTACAGCTTACTGAAGTGCAATCCTAATTAATCTTTATAATAAAAACCCGCAGACAGATATTAGGGGGTGAAAAAGGAGGGATCAGAGACAGAGCGGCCAGTCGCTATAGAGACTTTTTACCTCTTCAGAATCCTCAGAGCGAAGGTGCGACTCTGTTGCTAGGAATTCTCCGACTAAATGCTCCGAGTCCTGTCTCTGGCCTTATATATTCCTCTCTCCGCCCAGCTTTATTGGATTAAAGGCATGGTATAATCCCAAGGCCAGGATTAAAGGCGTGAGCTCGCTCTTCCTCTTTCTCCTTTCTTTCCTTCTTTCCTTCTTCCTTCCTTCCTTTCTTTTCTGCCTTCCTTCTTCCCTCCCTCCCTCCCTCCCTCCCTCCCTCCCTTCCTCCCTCCCTCCCTCCCTCCCTCCCTCTCTTTCTTTCTTTCTGGGGAGAGCGCGGTGCCCACTACCACAAATTCTGCAGTCGAGTTTCCCCAAATTTGGGGAAATCGCAGGGTCACTAGGGCGAGTGCAATGGATAAGCCTTGCTCTGGGAAAACCACCTTTAGGATCATGGTATCTCCCTTGCCAGGTTTCTTTTAGACTGATTCAATCTCTACGTTCTCCAGCTGAGAGCGCTTGACCCTGACAAGCTCAGGACAGAGGGAAACAGCCATCCAAGGGACCTCCCAGCTCAAGGAAGCTGGAGCGTGCTACATCTTTTGTTTTGTTTTGTGAGATAGGGTTTCTGTGTGTAGCCCTGGCTGCCCTGGAACTTCTTTGTAGACCAGGCTGGCCTTGAACTCACAGAGATCCACCTGCGTGCTATATCCTAAGGCTTTTCTGTTTATGTTTTTTTTTTAAATTTATTACATATACAGTTTTCTGCCTATATGCCAGAAGAGGGCACCAGATCAATCTCATTATAGATGGTTGTGAGCCACCATGAGGTTGCTGGGAATTGAACTCAGGTACTCTGGAAGAACAGTCAATGCTCTTAACCTCTGAGCCGTCTCTCCAGCCCTCTGTTTATGTTTTGTAGAATTATTTGTGAAGGATATAAATGTGTAAGAGGTCTCTGATCTTTGACACTTTTAGGACAGAAGGAAATGATCTTTTTAACAGACAATACCAATTTGAAGATCCATTTCTTAAGATGTTCCAGCTCTTTCTGTTCCCATATGTTTTTATTCCTGTACTTCCTCATCTTTGTTCTCCCTGATAATAATCAAGCAAAACATTTTATTTCCTTATAAACATGGCATAATGATTATAATGTCTTTGTATGTAATTGTCTCTAATAAAAACACGGCACTGGGCGGAGTGGTGGTGGCACATGCCTTTAATCCCAGCACTCAGGAGGCAGAGGAAGTCGAATTTCTGTGAGTTCGAGGCCAGCCTGGTCTACAAGAGCTAGTTCCAGGACAGCCTCCAAAGCCACAGAGAAACCCTGTCTTGGAAAAAAAGAAAGAAAGAAAGAAAGAAAAACACAGCACTGGAGACTCTCTGGACCCTCAGAGTCTCCCATTAGCTGCCATGCTTGACTTGGCTGGGTCCTCAAGTCTGTTTCTCCAACCCACAGTCTTCAAACCAGTCTTCTCTTCCCTCCCTCCCTCCTTCCCTCCCTCCCTCCTTCCCTTCCTTCCTTTCCCCAAGACAGGGTTTCTTGTATAACAGCCCTGGCTGTCCTGGAACTCACTCTGTATATCACTCTGCCCTCGAACTCACAGAGATCTACCTACCTCTACCTCCTGAGTGCTGGGATTAAAGGCATGTACCAGCACCATCACCACCACCACCAGGGTGATATTAAAACTTTATGTATGGGAGTTTTGTCAGCATGTATCTCTGTGTACCACATACATGCAGTGCCGCAGAGGTCATAAGAGGACACTGGAGTTGTCTCCCTGGAACTGGAGTTGTCACTGCCTTATGAGTACTGGGAATCCAACCTGAGTCTCCTGAAAGAGCAACCAGTGCTCCTAACTGCTGAGCCATCCTTCCAAACCTCTTATTAAAACTTTTAGGATTTAAAGTTTAATGTATCGATATCAAACCTCTGCTATCAATGGAGTTATTGGTTTGCTCTTTCAAATAATTGCAAAGACTGACTGAAAGGACAGGAATGTGTAATACAAAGTTTAAAGTGTTTGGTTTTGGCCCAAACATTTTCTAACTATTACAGAGTAGTTAAAAGTACAAGACTATGGGTGTGGTGGCGCATGCCTTTAATCCCAGAACTTGGGAGGCAGAGGCAGGTGGATATTTTGAGTTTGAGACCAACATGGTTTACGCATCAGATTTTAGGCCAGCAAGGGCTATACCTCAAGACTGTGTCTCCCATCCCCATCCCCCAGACAGGGTTTCTCTGTGTAGCCCCAGTGTAGGCACTTTACAAAGAGAGCCCTGCTCTGGAACTCTCTCTGTAGACCAGAGATCTGCCTGCCTCTGCCCTCAAGAGTGCTGGGATCAAAGGTGTGTGCCACCACTGCCAAGTGACTTTGTCTTAAAAAAAAAAAAGAAAAAGACCAGACAAGTGGATGGTTATGCCAAGTTCGTGAGACCTCCCAAAAAAGACTACCAAGGAGCCGACTCACTGATGCAAACACATAGGTTTAATGTTAAGTTACCAGCCTCAGCAGGGACCCTGTCCAGCAAACTGGCACAGCAGCCACAGGAAAAGGGCGCCTGGCCTCAGTTGTAAAGGGTTTTTAAAGGAAAAAAGCAGGGTGGTACGTGCCTTGGCTGTTCAGGATTGGGTAAGAGTAGGTGACCTTTGGATTCACTGACATGGGGGCTAGGGGAATTTCAAAATTGTTACTAACAGTTATCCACAAGGACAGTTGAGGCAAGAAGATGCTATTTACCAAAATTAGTCATTACTTGACCATCTGGATGGGGTCACTTTGTCCGGGGAACAGTTCGGGTGCTCCTTGGAACTGTTTATGGTTCCTTGGCTGGAACTGAATCAGCCTTATGCCACGAAGGGAATTTCTTAAGGAGGCTTTTTCTGAGGATGGAGTTAACTCCACCCTCTCAAGTTTACCTTGCTCTTACATCCCCCCCCTTTCTTATTGGTAACCCATTCTTGGATTACTAGTGGACAATTTAAAAGACTGGGTAAGTTTGGAGTACAGGTTCTATTGTCATCTTGTCCCCTATGTAAGGGAGTTTTCTTTTGACTTAGCATTTCAACCAGGGAAAAGGGACAACATATTCTTTCCTGTGCTATTTCCTGCTGACTTTTGGGGTGTTGTTGTCAGGTACCCAAGAGGCTAAAATGCTAGTCGTTTAAAGCAAAAAGAGGATTTAGGTAAGGGGGTGTTTATCAGAAACAGCTGGTTGGCAGACTGTTGAAGATATGGAGAGTGTTCACATTGGCTGGACTGGTCCATATCTACAGCAATGTTTAGGGCTCACAGTCTCTAGGAGTAGGTTATAGCCAGCAACTGATACTTGGAGAAACCTATTAAGACATATTTAAACTAGGAACAGAAGTTAAAACTTATGTACTCAATCAGAACTCTTAAGCCCATAGTTTTAGTGATTAGGAAGAGCAGAAGTCCCAAGACCAGGGGAGAAAATCCCATCTTCAGGAACAGACAAGTGGGAAACTTATCAGGAGTCCTTTATACCTGTGAGAAGTAGATCCAAGCTTTATGACTTATTGATCCTCTGAAGCCCATACAAACTTTATTATATAAAGGGACATAAAAGTTATAGATATATTAACATTATCAATCTGAATTGAAATCCATATTGTAGAAAAAAAACCAGATACTAGGTATCTGTAATATACCTTTGAGTCCCAACAAAAACTATAGTTTTGTACATTTTTCTTCTGTCCAGAGAGGGCCAGGTACACATTGGACAGAGATGCCTTTGGCCTGATGAGAAGCCCTTTAGGTTTATACTTAGATGACAACCAAAATAAACCCAAATTCTTGAGTTTGTTACTGAACAGCAGGTAGTCAGTGCTCTACCAGCTTATCTGAACCCTATTAAATGTTAAGCTCTTTTTTTTTTTTTTTTTTTTTTTTTGGTTTTTCGAGACAGGGTTTCTCTGTGGCTTTGGAGGCTGTCCTGGAACTCACTTTGTAGACCAGGCTGGCCTCAAACTCACAGAGATCCGCCTGCCTCTGCCTCCCGAGTGCTGGGATTAAAGGCGTGTGCCACCAACACCGGGCTAAATGTTAAGCTCTTAACTTTCATGTTTTAGAAGGGGAAAACAACTTTAAACCATTTTTATATCTTAAATTATTTTTATATCCTTAAAATTTGTATGTTTTTATATCCTCAGATCCTTATTTAGGAGCAGTCTCAAGGCTTGATTTTAATGTATAAATTGAGCTATCAAGCTGGCTATAGCCTTCTGGAAGGATCTGATTGCCTGATGCTGCCAAGCTGACAAAGTTATAACTAGCCCATCCATCAATACTATCAGAGATCTGAGAAGGATACATTTCATACATTTTATGTAGCTTCCAAATCTATTAAAAAATGACAGGGACCAGTCCATACAGCTAGCCATACCCACATCTCCATAGTGTTGGAGGCAAAAGTATCAGAAAGAACAGCATCAGTCTTCTCCAGGCTCAGGGTGAGAGGCTTTTTTCCCCCTCTGTGGAAGAGAGACACGGAAAAGACTGACCTTATTTTGTCTAGGCAAAAGTGGTACAATCAATTCTCCAGTGTCCTGTAGCTTGTCCACAGTCTGGCCCAGGTCCTGGCAGTGGGTGTTGCATTGGGACATCTAGTCTACTGGTCAGCGTCGTCATAATTTAGGTTCAGGCATCGTGGTGCCCCATACTCTTCTTTGGAGACCTTGTGTCACTGTCAGGATCTGCGGGTCTCCGTCTGATATAAGCTTTTAAATTAGCATTTTAAATGCCATATTCTGTAGTTCTCTGAAGTATTAAGAGGGTTGTCTAGGTAAATCTGAATAGACAACGTCGTTTTCAGTTCCTTGTTTTGAGCTCAACTTTTGAAAACATTTAAGTAAGGTTTATCCCTGTAATTATTTATATCAGTACTTAGCATGACTACAATTAACAAACTTAATCATTTATAACTTGTGTTTTGTAATATTTTACAATACAATTAGCAGCTTTTTATAAGACTAGGACTTTATATCGTCAGGTTTAGCTTTAAAAATTTGATGCTTTGACCTTTTAAAGGAGTTTCCCATGTTGTGGTGATTTCCTACAACAAAGTTTTCCTGTTGTTATCAATGCAAACATCTAACATGCAGGTGGTCTTAGGTTACCCTTATAAAAAGGTTTTTCAATCCACAAAGGATTGAAACCCATGGCCTTAGAAGCTACTCTAAGCATTTTTTCAGACTTAGGTCATTGCCTTACTGTATCACAAGAAATAAACATCCCAATTTCTGGTTAGCATATAGTGCTTATGGCTATGATCTTAAATTTTAGTACAAAATTTAAGTACAAATATTAACAATAAAAACATTTTATGAGCAAAAATATCCCATAGTCTTATAAATTTAATTTAAAATCTCTCAATGTCTTTTTGCAATATCAAAAATAAAATGCCCTGGCCCAGCGGTGGTGGCACACGCCTTTAATCCCAGCACTCGGGAGACAAAGGCAGGTGGATCTCTGTGAGTTCGAGGCCGGGCTGGACCGACAGCCTCCAAAACAATATAGAGAAACCCTGTCTCATAAAAACTAAAAAAAATAACAAAATAATAAAATAAAATAAAATGTCCTTTATGCCTTTAAAACCATTATCACCTGGGTGACTTTTAAAACACAAAGTTCAGTGTTCTTGTGTATAGAGGTGTACACCAGAAAACACAAACAAAACTTTTTGACAAACCTATATAACTTTCTTGAGAAACAGATGAACTTTTTAACCAGAATTAACCCAATATGGCTAGAAATTTAACTTATATTACCAATTTTTAAAATTTAGTATTTGGTCAGGCATTGGTAGCACACGCCTTTAATCCCAGCACTCGGGAGGCAGAGGCAGGTTGATCTCTGTGAGTTTGAGGCCAGCCTGGTCTACAGAGAGAGTTCCAGGAACAATACAGAGAAACCCTGTCTAGAAAAACCAAACCAAACCAAACCAACCAACCAAACAAACAAACAAAATTAGTATTTGCAGATATGAGAAACCACAGCAAAGATAGTTCACATTTCCCTCTGACCTTTCACGACTTTTACTCTGACTTTCAACGACTTTCTTTGATCCTCTATGATTTTCTATATTACCTTCAGTCTCTTTTTCTGATTCCCTTAGGCATTCTTACTTTAGACAAAATTTTCTTTCCCTTTCCCTCTTTATTACTTTAGTCTCCTACCTTTTCTCTCATTTCTTAGTCAACATGAAAACTTTTACCAAAGTCCTTCTTGTGGTTTTAATAACTCTAAACTGGTATCAACACATTAAACCCTGTGCCAGTGCGAAACATCTTAAATGATGACAAGTAAATATAACCCATTAGATTTAAATGACTAAAATCCATATATTTTTTTCCTGTGGAAACAAAAGCATATTTTTCCCCAAACATAATGTATCTTTGACTTTTATTTTAAAGTCAAAGCTTCCCACAGTATACAGACTGGCATAATTTAACATTTTTGTTTTCCAAGCAGAATCAGGACAGAGAAGGGTTAAGGTGGGAAGCTGCTGGCCAGCAGAAGAGACCTTGACTGATACCACAGTGAAGAATTAGGCTTAGGAGGGATTGGGGGGGAGTGAGCAGTGCAGAGTGTCCTTGGCTGCCAGTGTTCCTGAAAGAAAAAAAATTTCCCCAGCTTTTTCAGCCACAATCACAGATTTTCTGTTTTACATCCTTCCAGTGAGTCAGGCAGAGACCCCTTGGAAAGCAGAGGGGAGGAAGGTGTCTGTCCTATGTTAGGTTGAGTCCGATCATGATCACGTACTGTCAGTACGGTCAAGACAAACACAGCACTTAGACAGAAGGAGGGGCCCATCTCAAAGACTTGCAAGTTTCAGATTCTCAAACGGGAGGCAAACTCCCCAGCAGTTGTTCCAGAAGTTACAAAAGTACAAATTGGATTAAAAAATCCTGACAGGGCAGCCCTCACAGCCCCCACTTGATAGGGCAGTCCCCAGTGGGTCCCCCACCCACACCTGACAGGGGCCTACGTCCACTCGAGAAAGGGGAACGTCTTCTGACCCTTCCTCCAGATCTGACCTTATGGGCACATCTGCCAAGGCCTTCTTAATCCGTTTCTTACAGTTTCAAATTGTCTGCTAGCAACAAAAACAAAAGAAGGAAACCACAGAAACTTGACAACACTGACAGGCCGGAAATTTGGAAATTAAACCTTCAGGGTCAGGAGTCCTTGGGGGTCTTATGGATCCTGTGCAAGACCTCCATATGTTATGCCAAGTTCGTGAGACCCCCCAAAAAAGACCACCAAGGAGCCGACTCACCAATGCAAATGCACAAGGTTTAATGTTAAGTCACAAACCTCGGCAGGGATGCTGTCCAGCAAACTGGCCCTGCAGCTGCAGGAAAAGGGCGCCTGGCCTCAGTTGTGAGGGGTTCTTAGAGGAAAAAAACGCAAGCAGGGTGGTACGTGTCTTGGCTGTTCAGATTGGGTAAGAGTAGGTGACCTTTGGATTCACTGACATAGGGGCGAGGGGAATTTCAAAATCGTTACTAACAGTTGCCCACAAGGACAGTTGTGGTGAGGATATGGGGGCACAGTTCGGGTGCTCCTTGGAACTGTTTGTTTATGGTTCCTTGGCTGGAGCTGAATCAGCCTCGGCTTAAGGAGGCTTTTTCTGAGGATGGAGCCGTTCCCTCCAGTTTACCTCGCTCTTACACAGCCAAGCTTTCAATAATCGTATTCGGAGGTCTGTATTCATGTGATCAAAGGGATTAACAAGATAGTATTTTGCCTCTTCTAGGTCCTAGAGGACTGAGACATGGCTTTAAATAATTAAATGTCCCGTTCTCCAGGGAAGCAATGGAGACCCACCCCGTTCAGTAGATTCTCAACCGGTAAAGTCTACAGAGAGGAGGGTTGTATTAGTTATGTTCCTGTAACTGTGATAAGACACCTTGACCAAAGCGATTCATGGAAGAAAGAGCTTATTTTGGTTTATGGTTCCTGAGGGCTAGAGTCCATGATAGCCTGGGAGCAGGGCAGCAATTGGCAGGCATGGTGACTTGAACAGCAAGCTGAGAGCTTAGCCCATTGGCTTTGGTGTGCTTGCTAGCATGGTCTGGGTCATGGGACACCCCTTTTACAAAAATGAATTGCCTTGGGGGATACTTTCATTTTGTTTCTGTGTTTCTTTGTGTGATACTGAGATTCATATATATATATATGAATTTACATCTGTCTGTCTATGTATGTATGTATGTATGTATCTATCATCTATCTATACTCAGAGACCTGTATCTATCTATCTATCGATCTATACTCAGAGACCCCCCTTCCTGAGCCTGCCTGCGTATCTGTCTGTCCGTCCATCCATCCATCCATCTATACTCAGAGACCCCATCTATCTATCCTGAGACATCTATCTATTTTCCTGAGACATCTATCTATCTTCTATCTATCTATCTATCTATCTATCTATCTATCTATCTATCTATCTATCTATCTATCTATCTATCTATCGATCTATCTATCGATCGATCTATCCTCAGAGACCCGCCTGCCTGTGCCTTCGAGCTCTGGGATGAAAGTTGTGCGCTACCACACCCAGTTTTGAGATTTTTTTTTTCCCCCAGCAATTGCTTGAAGTCAGTCCAGGCAACATAGTTGGAACCTACAATGGGTTCTATAGAGATTGCGAATCTAGGCTGCAATTCACGAGACGCTGTGTCAAATCAAACTCCCACGAAAACAAACGAAAATCGTGCCCTCCTTATTCTCTGACAATCATACACATCATGACACGCAGATGCATTCCCGGACGGAACCGAACAACCTCACCGCGATCCGTGGATGTGAGAGAAACACTTCAGGTAGCTCCCCAGTCCCTCACATTTTCTCGGCCAATCAGCAGAACGAAGACACGCCCCCCCCCGTCTACCCTTGCCCGCCCGCGCGCGCGCGCGCGAGCCATTCTGTCCCTGCCGCGCTGCCGTCGCGCGCGGGGGGTCAGAGGTGACGGCGGCGGCGGCGTTTGTGGTGACGTGGTTTTCGGCTCTCACCCGGAAAGCCCGGCGTTCGCGGCGCGCGGAGCCGGCGTCTCGCAGGCGGGCGCGCTCTGGCCTGTCTCCCGGGCGTCACGTCGGGCCCCGAGGAGCCGCTCGCTGTCTCCGGAGCGGCGGGGAGGATGGTGCGGGGCAGTCCGGGGCCCGCCGCGCTCCGCCGCGAGTGAACGGGGCCAGGCCGCGGGCGCCCGCGGAGCCGCCGGTCTGTGGGGCGGTGAGTAGCGGCCGGGGCCGGGGTCGGCGTGGCGGGCGTGTGGGCCGGGACCCGGGGCGGCCGGGGGCGAGTCGGTGCTCGGGCTCCTCCACCCTCCCCAGCCCCGCTCACCTCCATGGTTAGCTGGCCCCCGGCCTGCTCCATCCTCCCGGGCCTGCAGCCCGGAGCCGAGGCTTACTGTCGCCTGGATACGGCGGCGGGGAAGCGCTGGCGTGCTTTGCTGCGGTGAGGGGGCAAAAACAAACAAACAAAAGAAAATGGAATGCTTAAGAAAACCTTGTGTCTGTGTCTGTTTGTGCACGTGACTTGCAGGTGCCTACGGAATTCAGACGAGGGCGTTGTATTCCTAGAACTGGAGTTACAGGTCATTGTTAGCCGCTTGGTGATGTGGGTGTTGAGAACCTCTCTCCGGTCCTGTGGGATAGCAGGTGTTCCTAACCTTCGGAGCCGGCTCTCCGACCTCCATTTGTGTGAGTGAGTGAGTGTCTTAGTTTGGTTTTTTTCCCTCTGGGTGTAGGTGATATGCTTCGGGTGGAGAGAAGGCGGGAGGGAGCCCAAAAGGGAGTACTGAAATTCTGTGTGTTGTGATCTTAGGTATGTTTGAGACAGGGTTTCTTACCGCCTGGAATGGCCTGGAATTCCCTGTGTAGCCAAGACTCACCTTCAACCTCTTCCCTTCCTGTCTCAGACTCACTAGTTCTCAGATACAGGTGTGTGCCGCCCTGCCCGGCTCGACAGGGTAGTAACGGTATTGTTGCTGCTTTTAATCTTGGGGATACTGGAGACTGGGGTCTCGTGAAACCCTGGATAGCTCAAACTCATGTTTAAGCCTGGCTAAAGCAAAACAACACAAACAAACAAACCAATTGCATTGTGTGTTTCAAGCTAGCCTCAAGCTCGAAGTCGTGATCCTCCTGCTGCAGCCTCGTCAGTGTTGGGCGAGATAGGTGTGTGCCACCAGGCCCCGTTCAAAACCAGAATAGAGGTAGCCTGTGAGGCAAGGCTCGCAGGTAAATGAGGTCCCTTCTTATCTGTCCTCACAGTTTAATACAGCAAATCGAGTTATGATCTCCACATAATGGAAGGCACGAAGCTCCAGTTTTCTAGATCCAGGTCGGGGAATTAAACCGAAGCCGGGTCACACTACTGGGACTTGTGTCTTCCCAGGCAGACTCTGGCTTCAGTCTGCTTTTGCCTGAACTCACTCAGGAGTGCCGTCTTACTGCTTCACGCTTCGTTTTGACCCTTCTTCCCTCTGGCGTTTAGTGCTAGCTTCCTCTTTACACACATCCGAGCAAACATAATCTGTAATTCCATTTACTGACCAGGCCCGTGGCATGTGCCTGTAGTCTTAGTTACTTGGTGGCGCACGCCTTTAGTCCCAGCACTCAGGAGGCAGAGGCAGGCGGATCTATGTGAGTTTGAGGCCAGCCTGGTCTACAGAGTGAGTTCCAGGACAGCCTCCAAAGCTACACAAAGGAACCCTGTCTTGAAATCTCCCCCCAAAGAAAAGAAACAAGAAAACAAAGATAGGGATACTAATCCTCACCTAGCAGTATTGGAAAGATTAAAATACCCATCCAGTATGTGCTAAGCAGTTGTTATATGTCCAGTGCATTGGCGTATACTAAGTAGTTATTTTCTCCTTAGCCTGTTATAATGTGTGTGTGTGATGTGGTGTGTATACGGAGTGCTTACGGAGGTGAAAGGGCAGTTTAGTGGAGTCAGTTCTCTCCTCCCGTCTTTATGTGGGCTCCAGGGGTCAAACTCAGCCACTAGGCTTGCATGGCATGAACCTTTACCTCTGAGTGGTCTCAGCAGACCTTTTTTTTTTTTAATTTATTTACTTGTATTTCATGTATACTGGTGTTTTGTCTGCATGTATGCCTGAGTGATCGTATCACATCCCCTGGAACAGAAGTCACAGACAGTTGTGAGCTGCCATATGGGTGCTAGGAATTGAACCCGGGTCCTCTGGAAGAGCAGCCAATGCTCTTAGCCCCTGAGCCATCTCTCCAGCCCCCTCAGCAAACCTTTTTACATTTTATATTTTACCATTTTAAAACACTGCTAAGGCAAGCAGCTCAGTAGTTAGACCTAAAAGCCATGGTTAGGATTTTAGAAATAGAGTTACAGGAGCAGACGTGTGCTACAGTTAATTCTGTTGAGTGTCACACAGCTGTCCCATGTCCTTTCAGGTAACTTCTGCAGTTAGCTGCCTTTTGCTGAAGCTGTCTGCAGTTTGGCCTTCCTCTGTCTCCTGAGTGCTGGGATTAAAGTGTGTGCCACCATGCTGGTTCAGAAACCTTCTTGTGCCTCTTTGCAAATGAATACATTAATAAGAGCTTTTAATTTCCTATTTGAAAATGTTTGTGAAATATTTGGAGTCTTCAAAAATGCTGTTAATGGTAGACATGGAGTTGTACTCACCCCAGCACTTGGAAGATGGAGGTAGGAGAATCAGTTCAAGCCTTGACTACATGGAGTTTGAGGATGGCTGTATGGTAAAGCAGAACAGCAGAACCTCTTGTTTCTGTTTAACTGTAGCTTAGTACTGGTTGGTCAACCATTCCCATCCCTCCTCATTTCTAATCATCCATTTGAGGTTCTAGATAATTGGAGGCAGCTAAGATTACTTACCTGCTCTGGAAAGTTTTGAGGGTGTATCCCTTGAACTGGCCTGGCTTCCGTCCTCAGCACTACAAAGGTCTGGTGTAACACCAACATGTGGGAGCTGGAGGCAGGAGGGCTGGGAGCTTAATGTCCTCCTTGGCTATAGCCAGTTCTGGCCCACCTGGGTTACAAAACAACAGCAAACTACAAATATAGAACCGGAGAGACGCCTCAGTGATTCAGAGTGCTTGCTACTCTTGCAGAGGACTTGAGTCCCAGCAACCATGTGGGGAGGCTGACAGCCACCTATAACCTCAGCTCTAGGGGATCCCATGGATGCCCTTTTTTTCTAGCCTCCACAGTTACCCGTACGCAGGTGACAGTGCATACAAAGATATCTCTCTTGAGAATACAAGTAGATAGACAATTGAGGAAATCAAGATAACTATGCTATAAAGTTAAAAAATCAATATATAATGGATAGTTTCCTAAATGATTTTTTAAAAGTTTTTCCAAACAGGGTTTCTCTGTGTAGCTTTAGAGCCTGCCCTGGAACTTGCTCTTTTAGACTGGACTGGTCTCTGAACTCACAGATATCTATCTGCCTGCCTCTCCAATGTTGGGATTGAAGGCCTGCACCACCACTGCCTGGCTCTAAATAATCATCTGTAAAATCAAAATTCGACTCATTAGAAGTAAAAAACAGATAGCTTCATCAAAATAGAAAACAAATACTTGGTTGACTCAAATGGCTAAAGTCAATCAAATTTCTAAGAAGTAGAAGTACATCTTTTCCAGGGGTGGTTCAAGACAGGGTTTCTCTGCGGCTTTGGAGGCTGCCCTTCGAACTTAATGTTAGGCTGCTTCTGCCTCCTGAGTACTGGGATTAAAGGTGTGCTGTACACTACCACCACTACCACCACCACCCCTGGCTAGAAGTGCATCTTATTTCTGGTAGCAGACTTTAGTCAAGTACTTGGGAAGCAGAGGCAGGTGGATTTTTGTGAGTCTGGAGCCAGCCTGATATGTACAAGTTTCAGGCCATCCAGCCTACACGGGAAGACCTTGTTTCAATAATAATAGTAGTAGTAATAAAATAAAAAGGATTATGCAAATAGAAGGCTTTTCTTACTTATGAATACACAGAAAAAGCCGAGAGCAGAGTAGTTTCTAAAAATCCTGATCTGGGACTGGGGTACAATTCTGTGATCTAGCATGTGTTCAGCATTAGTAACACTGTTCATTGTGGGAAGCTGTCTTTGCAGGTCTGCAGTCGGACCCGAAGTTCGTACCTGAGAGGGGAGTGGGAACTAAAGAAAGGCTAGCTAAAGGGGTTAAGTTACAAGACAGAGACACAGAATAAAAGCAGGAGGGCAAATCAGTCAATACTGAAATGCCATGAGTTTATTTTTCACCACTCCACATACCTTAACCAAAAAGAGGAACATGGTATCAGGTATACGGAACAAACAGACTTCCTCCTCTTTTCTCCAAGGATTCAGTAACCACACCTTAGATCTAACATTTCTACCTGGCCTTGAGGGTCAGGAGTAACTACACGTCAGACCAGGTCTTTTGTTATTTAGAATAAGACAGTTAAGGCCAAGATCAAATATCCTACTTAGCCACATCTTTGACCTTTAGGTCTTATGATTTACTGAGGACAGTTTTGAACTTTGCCCTTGAGCCAAGATTGAGGTAGAGCCATCTTTATGGACACCTATAGTTCACCCCCCCAACACCAAAACAAAGCTCTATCAGCATGATAAAGATTAATCAAATTGTTTACGTCAACAGATTAAAAGACAAAAATTGATGGTTTAGGTGGGGAGCCAGACGTGGTAGCATATGTCTGTAATCCCATACTTGGGAGGCAGAGGCAGGGAGCTCAGGGTTCAAGGCCAGTTTGGAAGACAGAGACCCTGTCTCAGCCTTTTTCCCCATAAAAAAGAAATAACAGTGAAAATTTTCTTGTAAACTTATGGCTAAGTACTTCCTTACCCTAGAGAAATCTTCTGTTGGAGTTAGGGCTTCTGTTGCTGTGATAAAACACTGTGGCAAAAAGCAGCTTGGGGCCAGGCATTGGTATACATCTTTAATCCCAGCACTCTGGAGGCAGAGGCAGAGGCAGGCAGATCTCTGTGAGTTCAAGACCTGCCTGGTCTACAGAGTGAATTCCAGGACAGGCTCAAAAGCAATACAGAGAAACCCTTTCTTGAAAAAAACAAACAAAAAAGCAACTTGGGGATGAAAGAGTTTATTTCTCTCAGGTTACTCTCCATTGCTTGGAGAAATCAGGGCAGGACCTCAGACACAGCAAAAACCTGGAACCAGGAGCTGATGCAGAGGTCATGGAGGATGCTGCTTTCTGGCTCACTCTTCATGGCTTGCTCAGCCTGCTTTCTTGTAGAACCCAGGGCCACCAGCCCAGGGATGGCACCGCCCATAGTGAGTTGGGCCCTCCCCCAGCTGTCATGAATCAAGAAAATGCATCACAGGTTTGCTCACTGGACAATCTAACAGGGGACATTTCCCAGTCAGGCTATCTCTTTTAAAGGACTCTAGCTTGTGTCAAGCTGACATAAAACTAGCCAACACAGTGTCACATCAGAAGCCGAAGTTGTGTCCCAGACTTTTTTTTTTCTTATTTTTTACGAGACAGGGTTTCTCTGTATTGTTTTGGAGGCTGTCGGTCCAGCCTGGCCTCGAACTCACAGTGATCCTCCTGCCTCTGCCTCCTGAGTGCTGGGATTAAAGGCGTGTGCCACCACTGCCTGGCTGTGTCCCAGACTTAATAGTGAAGCTTCCCCCCCGAGACAGGGTTTCTCTGTGGCTTTGGAGGCTGTCCTGGAACTAGCTCTTGTAGACCAGGCTGGCCTCGAATTCACAGAGATCCGCCTGCCTCTGCCTCAATAGTGAAGCTTTACAAAGCATTTTTGCTAAAGTCTGAGTGAGGCAAGAATTTTATTACAGCTACTGCTGTTGATATTTCACTTAAGTAGTTACAAAAAAGAAAAAGATAAAAGGATTTAAAAAGAAATATTACTAATGCTTATGTTCTTCAACAGTGTAGTTATCCATATGACATCCAAGAGAGGTCACAAACAGCTTAGTTAGAATTTAAGATATTTGAGCAAAACGTCTAGAACCAAGAGCATTGGAAGCTAGGGCTGTAGCTCAGTGGTAGAGCACTTGCTTATTTTTGCAAGACAGACCAGTCCATAAAATACTTAAATTTTCATGAACTAATACTGATATACTATGTGGGTAAAAGTGCCCTGTAGCTTAGTCTGGTTCTATGTGGCCAAAGATAGACTTGAATTCATGATCCTTTTTGCCTCTATCTCTCAAGTGCTGGTCTCAAAGATATGTGCCGCTGTGCTGGTCTTGCAGTGCTGGTCTTGGGACCCAGGGCTTTGTGTAAGCCAGGTGAGCCCTCTGCCAACTGAGCTAGCAGCTAGCTGTATCTTTCCTCTCCACATTTTTTTTTTTGTTTTTGTCTTTGTTTTTTTTTGGTTTTTTATGAGACAGGGTTTCTCTGTATTGTTTTGGAGGCTGTCGGTCCAGCCCAGCCTGGAACTCACAGAGATCCGCCTGCCTCTGCCTCCCGAGTGCTGGGATTAAAGGCGTGCGCCACCACCGCCCGGCTAACACATTTTTTTTTAAACACAGTGTCTCATATATTTCAGGCTACTAACTGAGGATGAGTTTTGACTCCTGATCTACTTCTGGGGCTCCTTCTAGTCTTCTAAATGAATTCATTGAGTGGATATTTCTCAGATTGAGCCTATTGCCCCACAGTACTGTTGTAAGAAACTAATGGGAGTGCAACAGCTCCCTTGTGCAGATAGGTACTAATCATGTGCGGACTTTGTCCCAGGTTGCAGCTGATCAGAAGCATGCTCAGCGTTAACCCCCTGGAGAACCTGAGGCTCTACATCAGCAGCCGGCCGCCCTTGGTGGTCTTCATGATCAGTGTTAGCGCCATGGCCATCGCCTTCCTCACCCTGGGCTATTTCTTCAAGATCAAGGAGATTAAGTCCCCAGAGATGGCTGAGGTACAGTATACTCCTAATTTCTACTTGTGCTGGATGGATCTTGTAGTCAGTGAGGGACAACTCTTATTTGTGAGGTCTCATTCTAGTGAAGGCCAGTCTGAAATGTACTATATTTGCTGACCTGGAATTTCAAGTGATCTTCCTCCTTCAGCTTTATGAATGCTGGGATAATACTATGTGTTGTGTATTCCTACACCTGGAGGGGGTTTTGTTATTTTTTGTTTGTTTGTTTTTGTGACAGGGTCTCATGTAGCATACACTGGCCTTGAACTCCAGATTCTCTTGCCTCTGTCTCTCAAGTGCATAGATACATCCAGCAAAAGATACATACTTATACAGAGTTTCCTTTTCCCCTGTGACTGCTTTGTTAGGGAATAAGTATATAATTATTTTAAATAATACTATCAGGTTCATGTAGACTATTTCAGTAGAGAAATAGATTCATTTGGGAGGGTGTACTTACAAAAACCTGAGTCAGAAGAGGACTGGGTATGGTGGTGTACTCCTGTGATCCAACACCGGGGAGACTGAGGCAGAAGAGTGTGGGTTCAGGACTGTCCTGGGCTATGTAGTAAAGCCTTGTTTTAAAAGAGAAAGAGAGTGGGTGAGCTGGGGAATTCAACTGTTCTGGTAGTTATTTCTATTGTTTTAAAATCATGACCTGTACATTTAAGGACACATACCACCTTTTGGGTTTCTCATTTGTATAGATGGTGTTTTTATTAGATAGGGATCCTATTGACTAGAAACAAGGGCACCAGATAGAAGTGGTCAGAGGACATGGAGAAGGGGAAAATTGCACCATGAAATGTGTATGAAGATGCTGTGCTGAACCCATAATGTGGGCCGTGGTGGCGCATGCCTTTAATCTCAGCACTTGAGAGGCAGTGACAGGCGGACCTCTGAGTTTGAGGCCAGCCTGGTCTACAGTGCAAATTCCAGGACAGCCAGGGCTACACAGAGAAACCCTGTCTCAAAAAAAAGATTTACATGTGGGTGTTTTGTCTACACGTGTGTCTGTGTACCCTGTGTATGTGCTGGGATTAAAGGCATGAGCCACCATCACAGCTGTAAATTCATAAATCTTAAACAACCAAAAAAATCCCCAAACAAATAAGCTATTAAATGAGTGTGAATTAGTGATTTAAATGTGTCAACTACTTTTGTTCAAGGTTCCCTTTTGTTTTTGTTTTTTTTTTCTATGTGTCCTTGGCTGTCTGTCCTAGAACTTGCAATGTAGACCAGGCTGTCCTGGTACTAAGGGATCTACCTTTTTTTTTAATATTTATTTTTACTTTATGTGTATGTGTGTTGGCCTGCATGTAAATATGTGTACCATGTTCCCAAGGAGAACAAAAGGGATATTAGGTACTCTGGCACAGGAGTTACACGCTGTTGTGAGCTACCATGTGGGTGCTTGGAACCAAACTTGGTTCCTCCGTAAGAGCAGCAAGTGTTCTTAAGCACTACGTTGTCTCAACAGCCCTCACAGCCTTTTTTGTTTTTCATTTACTTTTATGTGAATGGATGGTTTGCCCACATATATGTCCAGTGCCAAAAGATGGCGTCAAGTCCCTTCACACTAGCGTTAGAGTGAGTGCTAATAGCCCTGTGGGGGTTGGAAATCTCTGGTAGGGCCATCTTATCCACGGAGCCATCTCTCCAGCCTTTTTTAGTTTGATCTTGAGGCTAGTTTGTTTTTTTCTTAAGTATAGTCTGCTGGATTCTCAGATAATGTACAGAGTGTGCAGTTCAGATTTCCAGGGCTGATATGATTATATCACATTGTTCTGCAGGTGCAGGATGGTGGTGTATTATGACTTGAGACGGTCACTTTCAGGCCATTCTTTTCCTCTTGTCCTGTGGTAGCAGTTAAGGGTCATTGCTGTTCCTGCATTGGAGATGCTGGGACCTCATGCATCTGTCTCTCCATTTTACTTTGCTGAAGGACTGGAATACTTTTCTGCTGCGCTTTAATGATTTGGACTTGTGTGTATCAGAAAACGAGACACTGAAGCATCTCTCCAATGACACCACCACCCCTGAGAGCACCATGACCATTGGGCAGGCCAGATCGTCCACCCAGCCGCCCCAGGCCCTGGAGGAGTCAGGCCCCATCAATATCTCAGTGGCCATTACCTTGACCCTGGACCCTCTCAAGCCTTTTGGAGGGTACTCTCGAAACGTCACACACCTGTACTCCACCATCCTTGGACATCAGATTGGACTCTCAGGTGTGTGTCAGCTACTTCCCTTTCAGAGCTTTTAGGCAGCAACTGAGATACATTCAGGGTTCTGTTTTATGTTTGTGAATGTTTCTCTTGGAGACTTGGACTTCAAGAAGGAATGGTTGCTGTGCACCTTCCCTCAGTTGGGTAGTCATGTATCATACACAGTCTCTCTCTCTCTCTCTCTCTCTCTCTCTCTCTCTCTCTCTCTCTCTCTCTCTCTCTCTCTCTCTTTCTCTCTCCCCCTCCCCTTCCCCCCTCCCTCTCTCTTTTAGTATTTTGAGACAGGGTTTCTCTGTGCATCCCTGCAGTCCTGGAACTCACTCTGTAGACCAGGCTGTCCTCAAACTCAGAGATCTGCCTGCCTCTGCCTTCCAAGTGCTGAGACTAAAGGTGTGCACCACTGCTGGAGAGATGACTCAGCAGTGAAGAGCACTGGCTGCTCTGCCAGAGGACCCAGGTTCAATTCTCAGCACCCACATGGCAGCTCACAACTGTCTGTAATTCCAGTTCCAGGGGATCTGATACCTTCACACCAACGCACATAAAATGAATTTAAAATGAAGAAAAGACGCTCATCAGAGTCAGGACTGATGGGGTCAGAGGTACAGCTCACTCTTAGAGCACTAGGCTTGTGTGTATTAGGCCCTGGCTTCCTCTATAGCACCAGGAGAAGGTGGGGAGGTGGGAGAAGCTCAAAGTGCAAGGTCTGATTTTGACCTCAGTATAATTGACCTTTGGCCTTTGACCAACATAGGTCTATTGATACTTTAATTTTTTTTATTATTAAAAACTTCTATTTTGTGTGTATGAGTGTTTTGCATGGATGTGTGTTCCTGGTGCCTGCAGATGGCAGAATCGGTTGTTAGATCCCCTGGAACTGGAGTTAGAGATGATTGTGAGCTGCCCTGTAAGTGCTAAGAACTGAACTGTGGTCCTCTGCAAGACCACCCAGTGCTATTCTCTGCTGAGCCATTTCTCCAGCCCTCTGAACCAAGAGAAGCATAAACAATTGTGAAGATGCTATTTTAGGCCATAAAGGCCTCCGGCCACGAGTGCTGGTCCACAGTCGTGATCCCAGTATGTGGGAGAGTAAACAGCAGGATTGTGAATTTCAGACCTTGCCTCAAAAACAAAAAAGCTGGTGGCACATACCTTTAATCTTAGCACTCAAAAGACAGAGGCAGGTGGATCTTTGTAAGTTTGAGGCCAGCTAGTCTACAGCAAGTTCCAGAATAACTGGGCCTATATACTGAGACTTTATCTCAAACAAAACAAAACAAAAAACCAAGAAACAACAAAAAACCTAGAGGATTTAAAGAAAAGAAAGAAAAAGGCATGGTGGCACTTGAGGTAGAAGCTGGAGGATGGTAAGGTGAAGGTTATCAGTATTGAGTTTGAGGCCAGTCTTCGTGACACATAAAAACAACAAAAACATCTTAGAAGCTTAAAGCTAACTGTGTTTTACCCGGTCTTTCTGTGATACCTTTGTAGCCAGCTTCTGATTGCAGTGGGGTCACCTGAGTGTCCACTTTATATAAGTCACTGTGTGTGCAGTCCATCTGTCCAGTCAGTGTCAGTGGCACACAGCAGTAATTAGTGATGTTGCTCTTTTGTTTTTATTTCTCCTTGTTTATGATAAATGAATGTTTATGTACTAATTGACTTCCCATTCAGCAGCAGGCAAAATTAGTAGTTAAGTTTGGGGAGTCAGGAATTCTACTCAGTTTTTGGACTGTGTGGGAGTCAGCACCTGAATACCATGTTGCTCATGACCTAAATGTGTTTAAAAGCATATATGTGAATAAGTGTATTCTGCTGGGGTTTGTAATACATTGCCATTTTTATTTATTTAGTGTGTATATGTATGGGTGCACATGAGCTACAGTGAACAAGTAAAGGTCTGAGGTTCTTCCCTGGTAGTTGGTTTTCTGTACATAGGTTCCTAGGATTGATCTTAGGTCACCATCTGGCTTATTTGCTCTTGACCCACTGAGCTGTCATACTGGTTATTTTTACTCTTGCTTGTGATGCTTGAATTTGAACCAAGGCTTCATAGATGTGAAAAAAGTACTCTTTCAGGCTTTTTTGTTTTAACTTAAAGATTTAAAATTAATTAAGCCAGGTGGTAGTAATGACACACACCTTTAATCCCAGCACTCAGGAAGCAGAGGCAGGTGGATTGATTTCCCTGCATTTGGGGCCAGCCTGAGTACAGAGTGAGTTCCAGGACAGCCAGGGCAGTTACACAGAGAAACCTGTTTTGGGGAGAAAAGATAAATTGTTATGTGTGTGGATGTATTGCTCAGTGCCGTGGAGACCAGGGGGCACAGGATCCCTTAGGACTGGTGTTAGAGACAGTTGTGTGCTGCCATGTGAGGGCTGTACACTGATTCTAAGCTCTTCCTAACCTCCCAGCCATCTCTTCTGCCCCAGGTTTGCACAGTTTTTAAATGCCCACCATCTATTTAGCAGTCTGCTAACTTTCAGGAAGAACTAGAGAAAGCCTCAGACCTGGCTCCTTCACCCTTGGAATTTGGGAATTATACAAGTGGCAAAAATAACAGGAATTGGGTGGGGGTGTAACTTAGTGGTTGAGGGCTTGTTTAACGCATGTGAGTCCTGCGTTCAGTTGCCAGTATTAAAAAAGATAAACCAAACAGCAACCATCTACTACCTAGTGCTATGTCAGCTTGACACAAGCTAGAGTCATCTGGGAAGAGGAAACCTCAATTGAGAAAATGTTTCCATTAGATTGACCTGTGGGTAAGCCTGTGGGTTGGTTGTTTTTTTTTTTTTTTAATGATTTTTGTGTGAGGGTACTCCTGGACTGGTAGACCTAGATTCTACAAGAAAGCAGGTTGAATAAGCCATGAGGAGCAAGCCTGTAAGCAGTTCCCTTTTATGGCCTCTACATCAGCTCCTGCCTCCAGGTTCATTTTTCTATTCCTGAGATAAAATACCATGATCAGAGCAACTTACAAAAGAAAGCTTAATTGGGCTTAAGGTTCTAGAGGTTTGGGTTTATGATAGCTGATGGTAGAGCAAAGACATGGGTGCGGGTGGCTGAAACAGACGCTGAGAGCTCCCATCTGGGTCCATAACAGGAGGCAGTGAGCACACTGGGAATGAGCCCACTCCTGTGTCACACACCCTCCAACAAGACCATGCCTCCTACTCCTTCCCAAATGGTTATACCTCATGGAGACTAGTGTTCAACATTTGAGCCTGTGGGGACCGCTCTCATTCAAACCACCATGTTAAATAATACCAAAATAAATCCCCCACATATGGCCATACCTGCTTATGGCTGACATGGTTTAGGAGCACATGAAAGTGGAAGCTGGAAAGGCGTTTTCATCCTAAGGGCTGGCTGGGCCTTGGAAGGATAACCTTTGGTTCTTTGGTCCTCAAAAGTCTTTGTGTAGGCTGGGCCGTGGTGGTGCACGCCTTTAATCCCAGCACTTGGGAGGCAGAGGCAGGTGAATCTCTGTGAGTTTGAGGCCAGCCTGGTCTACAGAGCGAGTTCCAGGACAGCCTCCAAAACAATACAGAGAAACTCTGTCTTGAAAATCCAAAAAAAAAAAAAAAAAGCCTCAAAAAACAGAAACAGTCTTCGTAATGTCCACAGGTACTGCCTGTTGCCTTTAGCTATTAAGAGTGGGAAGTTAGCCAAGCGTTGGTTGCATATGCCATTAATCCCAGCACTAGGGAGTCAGAGGCAGGTGGATCTCTGAGTTCGAGGCCAGCCTCCAAAACAATACAGAGAAACCCTGTCTGGAAAAAAAAAAAAAGAGTGGGAAGTTGGTGCTATGGTAGTAAAGGTACAAATAACTCATGTTTGTTCCAGGATGCAAACACACCTTTCTCCTTATGACCTTAGAACATTTTGATTTAGTGCAGGCTTCCTTTTCTAGTCCCAAGACCTTCCCTGAGTTTGTTAGACCCGCTGGTGCGTGCGTGGGTGCATGTGTCATATTGATAGCATGGTAGATTTTGAGTGCAGTAATACATTAGTACAGAAAATCACTGCACTCAAGTTGTTCAGTTCTGTTCCTGCCTGCACTCTGGCATGGCTCCCTAGCCCTGACTGAAACACATAGTAACCTTTGTGAGCTACTTTGTGGCTGTACTAGTCAAGTAGGCCTCATTGTTTAGATCAGTATTGTAGCTTCCAGAAATCCCATAGGGCAGGTGTGCAGGTCAGTGGGTGACTGTTGAGTTTGGCTTCAGACTCGTTGCAGAACCAGAGACCAGTCTGAATTTCTGCCCATGTCCACCAATAAGCTACTCATTCCTCCGCAGGCAGAGAAGCACACGAAGAGATCAACATCACCTTTACCCTGCCTGCTGCCTGGAATGCTGATGACTGTGCCCTCCATGGCCACTGTGAGCAGGTGGTGTTTACAGCCTGCATGACCCTCACAGCTGCTCCTGGAGTCTTCCCCGTCACTGTGTAAGTGTCCTACATGTTTATGGAGACCAAGAGGACAACTTGCAGGAGTCAGTTCTCCTAAGTGTTCCAGGATCAACCTCTGGTTGTTAGGCTTGGTGACAAGCACCTTTACCTTCCGAGCCATCTTGCTGACTTCCAGGACTATAAGTTTCATTTGAAATTCTAACTTCTACATATACAAATGTGCTGGGCTGGCGTTGTAGCTTAGTTGGTAGAAGGTGTGCTTGGCATTCATGAAGTCCTGGGTTCCATTTCCAACACAGAATAAATGGATGTGGTGGAGCACACCTGTAGTTCTAGCATTGGAAGGGTTGCGTGGGAGGATCAGAAAGTCAAGGCATCTTCCTCCCTATAGTGAAGCCAGGGCTAGCCTGGGGTACATGAGATCCTATTTTAGCAAAGGCAAACCACACCAGAAAGAAGCCCAGTTCAGACCTAGTGCTTCAGTGAGGCAGTAAAATATGACGCTGTGGCCGCTCTCCAGCTGCCTTCCCTGCTAAGAGTCATCTTGGAGAAGGAAGAGCCAGGCCCCTGCCAGAGTGACCTGTAATTAAAGCTGCCTAAAGGTAAAGGTTCTGCTTATCTCTGTGACCCAGAAATTAATTGTTTTAGCTTTTTTTTAAAGTTTCACTTTTATTTAAATTGTGTGTATATGTGGGGGATATGTATATAAGTACACTTGTTTTAGTTTTGGGGTGGGATTTGTTTTGAAATGTTTCCCCATGTAGGCTACAGCAGAGGTTGGCTTAGAACTTCTGATCTTCTTGTCTTGTCTCAGTCTCTCTGGAGTTCTGGGAATATAGGTGTGTAATCTCATGCCTGGCTTCTTATGTGTTTATTAAAAAAAAAAAAACATTTGAATGTGTCACCTCACACCTGCAATTCTAGCATTCACAGGCCTGTCTCTGCTTATATTGAGATCCTGTCTCAAAACATGAATAACAACAGACCCTCAAAACAATGGCATTTACTCCAGAGAAACATGGCGATTGTTAAAAACATCTTATTCCTCCTTTGGTCATGTTGCTCTGTTCAGTGTTGCCAGGCACTGTGTGTGGAGTGAGCCCACATAAATGTTTTAGGTTACCGAGCTGGTTTCTTCCTCTCCCGTGCAGTCAGCCGCCTCACTGTGTCCCTGACACATACAGCAACGCTACACTCTGGTACAAGATCTTCACAACTGCCCGAGATGCCAACACAAAATATGCTCAAGACTACAATCCTTTCTGGTGTTATAAGGGAGCCATTGGAAAAGTCTACCACGCTTTAAATCCCAAACTCACCGTTATTGTTCCAGATGTAAGTGAATAAGTTCTGTTTGTGTGTCACGATTGTGTGTGTACGTGTGTGAGACAGAGAGAGAGAGAGAGAAAGAGAGAGAAAGAAACACGTGTGTATATACCTTTGTGATTAAGAAAAGCCTTGTTCTCTAATTTTGTGTGTTTTTCATCAGAAGTTATATGTTGAGGTCTGTTTCATTTGAAAACCCCTTGGGGTCACTATTGCTGTGTGGTCTTACATGCAGAGTATCTTCTTAGTGTCAATGTTTGCAATAGCCAGTGCTGTGTAGGGTATAAAAAAGGTAGCAGTTCATCGGAAGAGGCAAATCTTTGTTTCTCATCTTTTTAGACAGTCTCTCGCTATGTAGCTCAGGCATACCTGGAAATTGTGATCTTGCTTCAGTCTCTTGAGTGCTAGGATCATAGACCTGTGCCACCGTGCCTGGTCTAGGATGTGTATTTGGCTTGATAGTGGCCTGCATAGCATTTAATTTCAGGAGAGAGAGGGAGAAGTCAGTGTTTCAGGCAGCAGGTGCAGTCCGCCACAGCAATGATTTTGTACCCTTGTTTCCTTCCTGAGTGTGCTGCATGGATTTCTTGTTTTTCCCTGGACTCTCCCTTTTATAAAATTTCTGTCCAGTTATGAAAGTTGGTTGCCAGGGAACTCAGGCCTGGAGTGGAGGGGAAGGCTGCATGATGTGCAGATCAGATTCCAGAGCCTTCCCTGCCCTGCCATAGTATTCACCTGTCTCCTGCAGCAGAACCCTCACTGCCTGTGTCACGCTGCTATAAAGCAGTCCCTTAAGACTGGGGCTAGGGCCGGGCATTGGTGGCACACGCCTTTAATCCCAGCACTCTGGAGGCAAAGGCAGGCGGATCTCTGTGAGTTGAAGGCCAGCCTGCTCTACAGAGCGAGTTCCAGGACAGCCTCCAAAACAATACAGAGAAACCCTGTCTCGTAAAACCAAAAAAAAAAAAAAAAAAAAAGACTGGGGCTAGGGAGATGGCTCAGCAGCTGGGAGAAGGGATGCTCTTGCAGAGGACCAGAGTCCACCCACCTCAGGTAGTTCACAACACTTGTAACTCCAGACAAGAGGACAAGAGGACCCCCATGTGCTTTCCACAGGCATGTGCACACACACACACACACACACACACACACACACACACACACACACACACACTTAAGTAAAAATACAATCTTTTTTTTTTTTTGTTTTTTCGAGACAGGTTTCTCTGTGGCTTTGGAGGCTGTCCTGAAACTCACTCGGTAGACCATGCCTGCCTCTGCCTCCCGAGTGCTGGGATTAAAGGCGTGCGCCACCAACGCCGGGCCGTAAAAATACAATCTTAAGGAAAAAAAAAAAAAACAACTCATTTTGCCAGGTATATATATTCCTGAGATTTGGGCACTTGAGAGGCTGAAGCAAGATGAGTTCCAGGCCAGTGTGTGCTACATAGTGAGTTCTAGGTCAAGCTGTACTCAAGAGTGAGACTGTTTCTAAAATAAAGACTTCCCTGCTCTCTGCTATGAGGCTGTGAGAAGGAGAGGTAGCCAGGGTCTCACACACCCCTCCTACTGTGGTTGCTTAGCAGTCTCAGAAATAAGGCCAGCCTGTACCCCTTCCACCCAGGAACTTAGTGGAACTAGAACACGAAGGGATGCTGCCTGGTAGGATGTGCCATCTGTCCACCGGAGGAGTAGCACAGGGTGAGGACCGCAGACAAGCTATTTGGTGGGATCACGAGGACATGTCCAGAGAGGAGCGGCCTCCCAGGAGAAGACAGGCTGGTGGGACTCTGGCAGTGTGGGCATGCAGAAGCCACGTAGAAGAAGCAGTGGTTGCTCCTTAACTAAGTTTATACGGGACCAAGTCTAACCTTAGTGAAAACTAGTTTGGAAGTTTTAGAGACAAATGGAGAGGCTGCCTGTTCAAGCTTAAGAATTAATATTGGGGGGCTGGAGATGGAGCTCAGTGGTAGAACATTTGTCTAGTGGGCATGAGGCGGTGGGGTCAATCCTGAGCACCACAATGAATGAAATTGCTGCAGGCACGGAGGCTGATGTTTGAAAAGTGTTAGTAATGGACTGCATGTGTCCGGTTTCTTTTCTTTTGTTCATTAGGATGACCGTTCATTAATCAACCTGCATCTCATGCACACCAGTTACTTTCTTTTTGTGATGGTGATAACGATGTTTTGCTACGCAGTTATCAAAGGCAGACCCAGCAAATTGCGTCAGAGCAATCCTGAATTTTGTCCTGAAAAGGTGAGCAGTGGGTGAGTGTCTGACTCCTGGGGACAGGCCCTTCTTAAGAAAAAAGGGTCCTGACATGGTGATAACTGTTCTGAAATCCCTGTTGGAGAGTTCCTGTCCCTGGTGTCTCTCTACGCCAATCCTTCCTGCACTGGAATCATGCAGCAGAGTGCCTGTTGGGGCAGCCAGTGTGGCTATGGATGTGGTTAGGTTAGTGCTTACCTCACATGCATGAAGCTGTCGGTTCAGTCTTCATCACCAAATAAACCAGACAATCCCAGGACTTGAGAGGTTGAGGTAGGATAATCATCCTGAGGATAGTCATCCTCAGCTCCATAGTGAGTTTTTGGCCAGCCTAGGCTACATGAATCCTTGTCTCAAGAAACAAATCAAGGTGGTCCACACACTTTAAATTCCAGTTCTCAGGAGGCAGAGCAAAGAAAGGTAAAGGAATCAGTGAGTTCAAAGCCAGCTTGGTCTACATAGAATGTTCCAAGCCAGCAAGAGTTACATAGTAAGACCCTGTCTCCAAATGAATGAATGGATAAATAATAAAAGGTTAGCTCCCAGTGTAGTACAAGTAGTTTTGCAGGTTGGTCATGGCTTACAGACAGCTTTTTTCTTTCCTCCCTGAGGTGAGATGGTCTCCTTGAGGTCTTTTTTACTTACCTTGCCAAAAGACAATAGATGTTCATGGTCAGCATGACCTTGTGGTATTGGACTGGGTGCCAGCAGCTCTCTATTTGACTTCATTGCCTGCTTGCTCTTTTCTAGGTGGCTTTGGCTGATGCCTAATCTCACAGCTCTCCATTTTCTGAGAGACCAAGAACCATGATCATTGCCTGCTGAACCGGCCAGGACCTGGCCATTCTGTGAATACACGATCTTGCAATGTTGGGTTATTCCAGCCAAAGACATTTCAAGTGCCTGTAACTGATTTGTACATATTTATAAACATTGATCTGGAAATTGGTCCTGTGATGCACGTGCTTTGCCCTGGATGCAGCCTGAACCTGTCCCCTTCACTGGGGGAAGGAGGGCACGGACATGGGGTCCTTCTGTGTAGTGCGGGGGGATGTAGGGATCTTGCTGGAGCTGAGCAGGTCATGGTCCAGTGCCAGTGGGGCTGAGGTTTGCTGTGGTTCTTGTTTCGCCTGGTGTGTTCAGTGTTGGAAGAGGTTTGCACCTTTGTCAGGATACTGCACTTCAGAAGCCACCATTCCCTCCTGTGGCTCTTACATGTCCATGGCTTCATGATCATAGTGACAGCAGTAATGCCTTTGTTTTTTGTTTGCTTGCAAGGAAACTTTTTAAATTTTTTTTTAAGAAAAAATAGTCACGTTTTACTATTCCTCTAGGCAGGGCAGATGTATTCATTTATACTAGGTAAGGTTATGCATCTAAAAGTCACTTACGTAGTAAAGATCAAAGTTTCATTTTTGCACACTGACAGCCAGGAACTCGAGTGCTCTGCTGTTGTCTGCTTCTGGTGGAGAACTCGCTGGCTTGAGGGTGCTGTGTATAGAAGCACAGTGAGGCTGACTGTCACAGCGCAGGGCGTGCTACTGAAAGAGTGGATGGTCGTTTGTCTAGCAGTCGCCGACAGGAGGTCTTGTTCGCTTTCTGTTTTTTAGAAAAGGAGACATGCTTTCTTTTTAATTGTTTTTGCATTCATTTGTGTCCACCATACACCTCCACAAGGAACATGACTGTTATGTGGAATGTGGGAACAATGCTGGCGAGGTGTGAAAGAAGGCAGAAGTTCTGACGGCTGAGCATTACTGCAAGCATTTTCCTTAAGAAATCTGATCATCCGATTCCTCTGTCCCTTTGCTCTCTCATATCCCACTTCAAAAACATGACCTATTCCACTTCCTTTTACTTGTATTTTCAGTTGTTTTTTTTTTTTTTTTTTTTTTTTTTTTGGTTTTTGGAGACAGGGTTTCTCTGTGGCTTTGGAGGCTGTCATGGAACTCGATCTGTAGACCAGGCTGGTCTTGAACTCACAGAGATCCGCCTGCCTCTGCCTCCCGAGTGCTGGGATTAAAGGCGTGCGCCACCAACGCCCAGCATGTATTTTCAGTTTTTATCTCAACGCTTTGCCTTAACAATTCCCATGCAGTGTTCTCTCAAGCAGTGTTCCAGACTTGCTGGCTGTGGGGATGCATGCATGCATGTATGCCCAGCACTCTGGAGGCTGAGGCAGGAGAATCTCCAGTTCAAGGCCAGCCTGTGCTACATACTGATACTCTCTACCACAAAGCAGGAAAAATTACTTTTGTTCTGTAACTGTAGGTCTGTAGTCTGTCTCAATTGGAGTTAACTTGATATATTCTGAAATTTACTGGCCTAGAGAATTTTATCCCAGGCATTCTATGTGGAAAACAATAGTTTTTTTGTTTTTAAATTAAAGATTGTTAATCATTGTAGTTATATATAACTACATTGCATTAGTTTTTTTTGTTTTGTTTTGTTTTTTAACCAGTGGTGAGTTGCCTATAAGATGGCTAATATGTGAATTTAATTTAGTCCTTGTCAGGCAGGATGAAGAAAAAGCCACGTGACTTGGCTGATAGAAATGTATCATCGGGACCATCAAGCTTCTGATTAAGCTGCTGAATAATAAAACCCAGAGAAGTGGAGCAAGACAAATGATAGAGTCACCTCCACTGGTCTGTTTAGCTCAGCTGTGTTCCTCTTAGTCACCCTTGTTAGTGACAGGCAGTGGCTGGGATCTGTAGGGTGGGAGGGAGGAACACAAGACCTGAGGAGAGGCAGTGCCAAAGTGCTTGGGACATGACCCATCCTGAGGTCAGATACATACTCAAAACTTAGTATTCACCCTAGCAGGTACACAGGTGGCAGATGGGTGGGGGAGGAGGGGTGTGGCTGTGCTTAGGAACCTGGAGACACATCTGCAGAACTTGTTACTGTTGGGCAAGTCCACACAAGGCCTGGTCCTCAGCTACTCCTTGCTGGTAAACCTCAGGATTGGAATGTCACAGCGGGCCCCTGGAGACCTCCTACCCCAGCAGCACTGGCTTATCCTCAGGTGTCCTAGACTGGGGGTGCAGTCACAAGTCAGTGACTTCCTGTGAATGGTTGTTTCAGATCATATTGATCTCTTTTCCTTTTGTCCCTTCACCATATGGTATGACTTGAATCAGTTTTGATTCTATTTGTAAGTTCTCATCATTTGGAACCTGGTGTTTCTGTTGTGTTCTTGGCAGTGCATAGGAACCCAGCCTCCTGTGTTTTGACCTTCCTGCAGGCACTGTGGGACTTGAGGGCAGCAGATCCATCTCCCGTCCCTTTCTGCATGATGGTCACTAGCCGATCTGTGATGGCGTCCCTCCCTCATTGATTTTCTGTGTTTGGAGTATGTGCATATGTGCTTTACAGAATAAAACATCTGGGTTTGCTTGGTTTTGTCTTCTTTCCTCCAGCCTGATAGCGATTTAAACAAGTGTAGGCAAGGAGCACTTACAGGGTTTTGCAGGCTGGTTTTTCAAGTACCACCTGTCATGAGGATGAAGGGTGGCCAGTGTTTACTACTAAGGTCACCTCAACAAATCCATGGGTCTTTATCTAAAGAATGTAAAACCTTATAAGAGACCTGGGAGAAAAAGCACATCTCCCTTCTGTATTACAAGGACATCTTGCTTTAGAACTTAGTGGTGAGGTACTATGCTTTCAGTTCCCTCACACTCAGAGAAGCAGCTATTATCAGAAAAGTGAAATGACCACTATGCAGTGGTCAAGTTCATTGTGAGTATAGTGCAGGTGTGGTGATGCACATCTTGTGGTCTTAGTACTGACGATAGTGAGGTGGGAAGTTCAAGGTGAGGCTGGGCTATACAGTCCCTATCTTTTCAAAAAATTTATTTTGGAGACAGGTCTCACTAGGTAGCCTAGGTGACCTGGAACTCTGTATAGATGAGTGCTGGGATTAAAATCATGTGCCATCATGCCCCCCAGTTACATTTATTAATGTGTGTATATGTATATGGGTTCATGGGTGCCATGGTTCATGAATAGAAAAGTAAGGACAACTTGGAGAAGTCACCTGTTCTCTTCTACCATGTGGGTCCTGTGGATCAGTCATCAGACTTGGAGGTATGGGTCTTTATTGGCCATCTTACTAGCTTGATAACCTATTTAAACAAAACAAAAACCAGAAAGCAACACCTCATTTGAAATAGTTGGCCTTATTGCCTCATTTTTTTTTCCCCTTCAGGACAGGGTTTCTCTGTATTGTTTTGGAGGCTGTCCTGGAATTCACTCTGTAGACCAGGCTGGCCTCGAACTCAGAGATCCATCTGCCTCTGCCTCCCAAGTGCTGGGATTAAAGGCGTGCAACCTCTGAAAACTAAATTTCTTATGCTATGTTACTTGTTTGTAGATGAATGAACTCTAAAAATAGGAGTTGGGCACAGGTGTATAATTCAGGAGGCCGAGACAGGATGATTGACTCTGAATGGGAAGAAAAAAAAATATAACAAAGCTAACTCAAAAACATGTCAAAGTGCATAATGCTCTGAGACCTTAATCTATTTTTAGTGTTCATTGGTGTTTTGTCTGTGTGAAGGTAACCCTGGAACTGGACCTGGGTCCTCCATAAAAGTAGTTAGTGCTCCTACCATTGGGCCATCTGTCCAGCCCCGAGTTCATTCTGTAAACCAGGTTGGCCTTGAGCTCAGATCTGCCTGACTCTGCCTTCCAAGTACTGGGATTAAAGAACCAAACCAAAAACAAACTCCAAATTGCCATGGTTAAAACTGTCAACTTGTCAGGATCTAGAATTACCAAGGGACCAAACCTGGTTACGTCTGTGAGAGTCTCTAGATTGGGTTTCTGTCTATCAGTTGGGGTCCTGGACTGAATAAAACTTGAGCTGAGCATCTGAATTCTTCTTTCTCTGCTTTCTGACTGCAGATGTAACGACCTCATGATTCTGCCACCAGGCCTTCTCTGCTGTGACTCCTCAAACTGAGCTAAAGTAAAACCTTTCCTTCTTAGCATGTCCTTTTGAGGCATTTCATCACATCAGCAAATAAAGTACCTAATACAAAAACCACAACAAAAAGGAAGCTGTCTAGAAAGGCAAGCCAGAGCTTAATTAAAAATAAGTTTTATTGATTATGTATAATTTTAGCTATACTAACATATAAACTTTTTAGAATTAGTATTAAATGACTATAATTATATATTTTACCAAGAATAATCTAAGTCAGTTTTGGTGCCATGTTTGTTGAAAATTAAATTCATATTTTCCCTAGTCATTATACGTCTATATGTAGGAATCAGGAAGTCTTCTCCAAACTCACACCCCAGCCCTGGACTTCATTATGCAAAAGCACATCTTCATCCCAGCAGATGCTCCTCTTGTTACACAGACCCCTCTCCAACGACTTAATCACTTACTAAGTCTGCCTTCTTGCCCACCGTCTGATCTTTCCTGTGGGACTAGAAAGGCATAGACAGCAGTGAAGAGCTGTTCTGGACACTGTATTTTGGGTTTGTCATTTTTGCTGGAAACCCCAATTTACAACAAAACACCTAGTACGTAGGTCAATGTTTAACACAAGATGAGAAAGTGGCCCGTTGCTTGCGCGGGGCTTTTGGCAGGCCACAAAAACAAACTGCTGCTGCTGGGAGCCAATGTCCTCTGTCGTGTTCCAGCTGAGGAGCTGGAGTGTCATTCGAATTTCTCATCTCCTTCCTCCACGTCTTTCAGACTGAGCACTTCCAGAGAACCTTTGCCTTTGGTTTCCTTTTTTATTAGCTCATCGATTTCTCTGAAGCAGCCAGGGTCGACCAGACATACCTGCAATGATGATGTAGCTGTTTACCAAGGGAGGATAGACAACAGCAGCACAAGTTAAAGTCAGCTTTTGTGCTCAGAGCAGATCTGTGGCTGTGTTCAACGTGTTGCTCACATAGTGGAGGCCAGGGCAGCAGGCTGGGCC